GGAGGAGGAGGAGGAGGAGGAGGAGGGAGGGAGGGAGGGAGGGAAGGAGGGAAGGAGGAAAGAAAAAAGAAAGATAAGATAGAGAGGTGTTAGGTCTTCATAGGCACAAAATACCAAAAATTTTCTTAATCAAGAAACTAAAAAGAATATTACTTAAATCAGATATCAAAATAAACCAGCCTTAAAAGAATTTCCCTATTATGGAAAAAAAAAGTTTAAAAATAAAGCACAGACAGAATAATCATTTGAAAGCTTCTTCCCTAAAATCGATAGGAAAGAAGAAACGAAGGAAGGAAGGAAAGAAGGAAAAGGAAAAGGGAACCACTGTGGACAACTAATTCACAGGGGAGAAAACTTAAAAACACCAACAATTCACAGGGAGAAAATGAAAATAAGCAAAGAAATGCATTAAAAATTATCAAAAGCAAGTGTAATCAAAGAACTGCAAATTGAAACAGTAATCGGATCAATTCAAATTCATTTTATTAACAAAACTGATGATAAAGTATAAGTAAAGAGTGATGGTTTTACTAGTGAGGATATAATTAGAAAAAAAGCTAGAAAACAATTATTTAAATTTGGAGGTAGACCTGTTGACCTCTCAAAAACTCTTTCAAGATGTAGGTGAATGTGTTCATTTCATTATATTTCCATTACATCAGAAAAAAAAAAGAAATAGAAGAAGTTAAATAATTCAGTACTCTTACAGATCAAATAAATATCAGTGCATATACATAGAAAAATATTAAGAGAAAATTTAGTCAATTGCCTCTAGAATATGAAATGTTAATAACATGAATATTATTACATGTATACATTTTTATGAAGTAAAACTTATAATAAACCTTATTCAAGAGTCTGAGGCAGGAGAACACCAATCTAAAGTTTAGGCTAGTCTGAGTAACACTGTGAAACCCCATCTAAAACATACACACACATTTTTTAAGGGCCAGAAAATAAAGTAAGGATGCGAATTACTCAATTTTTAATCTGGTCACAGAGAATGTTCTTCATCAACTTTACTGCCCACAGAATTTGTAATTAGTTGTTGTTATTTTAAATTGATGTGCATCTGGTAAAATAACACACCATGGCTCAGATGAGTGACTGGTGCATAGATGTTTATGCTGATCTGTATGCTTGAAAGTATGTAGGTTTCTGTGGGGGAATATACATGACTGTAAAAGACCCATTCTAAGTCTCACTCACAGCCAATGCTGTAGATAGTATTTTAATGTATTTCTCTACCCTATTTTTTCAAATTATCAGAGTACTTGCTGTAATAAGATGAAATGAGAAGATGAGCACATGAAGGGCCTCTTAGAAAAACTATGCACTCTCTGCCAGAAGAGCTCCTCTGTGAGCCTACATCCCAGGTACAACAACATAGAGCAGAACAGGAGATGACAGAAGGCAGGGCCAAGTCCAGCCTCAATGGCTGTCCAGCAGGATATAATCACAGTAAACCTCTGTTGCTGTGAACCACTGTTATTTTTCAATGTGACGTAACTGTGTCTAAACAAAACAAATTCTGATTAATAAACCTCTTTGAAAATAAATCAAAAGCAACTTTATAATGAATAGGTAGGTCAAGCTTTATAGCATACACCATTAACTATCTAAATGATCTTAATGTCACAAAGAATGACAACAAACTGAATAGTCTTATGATATGGCACAACAGAAAAATTTCTAGGGAAGAAAAAATATGAAACCTAAACTGACTGAGTCTCTACAACTAGTATAGAAATATTGTATTAATCACTGTTGTATGATTCACTGGTGGTAAAATCCAGAATGTTGGAAATTCTATATAACAAATCACCCGCGTGATTTCTTCAACAAAATAAAGGTTTAAAAAGAAAAGATTCAGTCTCATCATTAAGACATTCAACCAACATAGCACATATAATGTATAGCTATATAATGTACATCATACTGAAACAAACCAACTATTAAAGATATACAAAAACTAAACATCTCTACATTTTAATTTTTAGACTTATTTTCATTAAATTTTAAGTGTTATGAGAATATGTGATACATATAAAAGCTGAAAGTGGAGCTGTGGCTCAAATGGTAGAGTGTTAGCATTAAGCAAAAATGCTTAGGGTTAGATCCTAAGCTTTTAGTTCTAGCCTCATGACTGGAACAAAAACAAAAAAAACAAAGAAAGAAAAGAACCTTTGTGAAAAACAAGATAAACAACTAAAAATGAACAAAAGAAATAAACCAGCAAATTATCAAAACTGTGTCCATAGAAAATAAACATCTAAAAAGAATTTATGAACAAAATGTGTGTGTGCATGTCTATGTGCTGACACTGGGGTTTAACCTCTGGCCTCCTGAATTCATTTGGCTTTGTGGCTCAGTGTTGGCACTCTACCACTTGAGCCACATTTCCTGTTCCTGCTTTAGCTGAGTAATTAACAGAATTGGAGAAACTTACAGATTTGTTTGCCTGGACTGACTTTGAACTATTATTCCCAGACCCCAGTGGTACCTAACTGGTAATAATATCTTAGCAATCACAGAAATGAAAAATAAACCCACAATGAGATGCCACTAAAGAATCCCTAAAATGGCTGAAAAGGAAAATCACTGATATTCAAAGGGATGTAAAGCAAGAAGAACTCTCACAATATAGTTGTTGGAGACCACAGGAGGAGAAAATAACAGACAAAAAGTGGACATAAGCTAAATGTTTTGTTTTTCTTTCATAAAAGAGTAGCACAAAGCTGGGCACCGGTGGCTCACACCTGCAATCCTAGCTACTCAGAAGGCTGAGATCTGAGGATCACGGTTCAAAGCCAGCCCAGGCAGGAAAGTCCATGAAACTCTTATCTCCAATTAACCACCAGAAAACCGTAAGTAGCGCTGTAGCTGAAGAAGTAGAGCGCTAGCCTTGAGCTGAAGAGCTGAGGGACAGCGCCCAGGCCGAGTTCAAGCCCCATGACTGACAAAAAACAAAACAAAACAAAAAAAAAAAAGAGTAACACACACATGCAATATGTTCTTATAATGGAATGATACTCAGAAATACAAAGGAGTGGAGTACTGACATGTACATCTATTTAAATAAATCTCAAAGAAAGACCAAAAAGTGTGCCTACTGTATAATTCTTTTCAATCTAGAAACAAATACTATAGTAATAGAAAAGTAGATCTGTGATTTTTCTGGGGTTGAGGGTAGAAGGCAACTTGATTTCCCAAGAAGTGAAAATGTTACCAGGCTGATGATTAAATTCTATGAATGTTCACTAGCCCAAAATTCATCCAACTGTTAGCTTAAGATGGATACCCTTATAGTATATACCACAATAGATATAATTATATCAAATTTATGATGTCAAAAATTATTATGAAAGAAATGACCCTATGAAATTCCATTAAAATTTAAAGAGAAATCACAAGGGAAGAAAAGAAAATTGTTTAAGCATGTTGCCATGTTCTAAATTAAGATTAAGAGCTTCCCAATAAGAACATACATAATATTAGGCTATTTTAGCACTCATGTCCAAAATGACCAATATAAGTTTGAGGAAAATGAGTTTTTTAATATGAAATAATGAATTATTTTTGTCATAAAATTGCTTATACCTAAAAAATTAAAAAGTCCTAACTATACTAGAATACATATAATATATTCATTTTGGTGTTTCTTGAGTAGTTAGGACAAAAATAGTGAATTACAGGTATTATTTCAGATTGTTGTAAAAGGTGTACCATATTCTAGAAAAATCTCAATTCATGTTTTTAATTAAAAATAAAATCAATCTTGAAGAATCATTTATAATGTTGACAGTGTATTAGGAGAATATATTCCCAGACATTGTTTTCTTCAGTGTATGTGCTGAACTGAGATATATATATATATATATATTCATATACTATAAACGTAATATTCATATATGATATATGACAGGCAGACAGGCAATCTGAACATAAAGCATAGTGTGTTCTTCATTTGGAAGATTGGTGGGAGTACAGAAGTCAGTCTGTCCCATTGGATTGTCTTGAATACTTGTCAGAGCACAAGAGGGAAATTTTATGTTTGGGTTTTTTTTCAAACACTCTTAGAAGCTTTAGAAACAAGTTGAGGTTATAATGCACCACCATCAAATAACTCTGTCATGACACATTCACTAGTATGGTATAATCAAGTCTACACTTTGTATATTGGTAAACAGATGAGAAGCACTGTAGAGCGTATAACATGAGAACTGCATAAGATGAGCAATTAGATTAGCCTCAAGAGCAACAAAAGCTTCAGAGAGAGGAGAAATTACATTCATGTTGTATTACCAAAAAGGCTATGTTAAAAATGCTGCTTTCCTCATGACCAAGTCAACTTGAATTTGAGTGATTTGTCATTCCCATCCCTCAAAACAAATGATTTAAGTATTTTCTTTCTTTCTTTACTGAAGCAAAACAATATTCTGAAGTTTTTGAATTTAAATCCAGGTATCATAGTTTGATTTATATTGTTTTCTACGTGCTTTTATGTAAATTCCCATGACATGGGAGGCACAATTGGGTGATTAGATATTGCATCAGTATCCATGAGACTTTTTATCTCCAATTAACAACCAAAATACCAAAGTGGAGCTATTGTTCAAATGGTAAGAGTGCTAGGCTATAGTTAAAAGGTTCAGTGATAGTGATCAGAATATAAGCTCAAGCCCCTGAACTAGTATGTGTGGATGCACAAGCATGTACATGATGCATGCACGCATGCGTGCGTGCGCGCACACACTCAGACATACACACACACACACACACACACACACACACGCACTCACACACACAGGAATTTGGAATGATTTTACTATATGAGAGAGGTATATCACTGCCCATGATTTTACCTGAAGAAAATTATGTTTGATATAAACATTACTATCAAGTTCTGTGAACTGAAGTATTTGACTGGGAGGACATAGCTCATAGCGTAATTTAAATTCATTAGAAACCTATTACATAAAATGGAGAAGCATTTGCCATCCCCCTATCCCAAGCAGTTTCATTACTTAAGCAATCCATATTCTGGCATTTAAGTGCTCTTACACTTTTTTTCCTTTAATGATTTTTCAATTGGAACTCACATAAACATACCCATAAAAGTGACTTTAGAAAGACATAAGGCAGATTTTGGCTTTTCCATTAATTTTATTAAGATCAGTGTTTCTTTTGAAAGCAGACAAAAATAATTTAACAAAAATGAAGTTTGGCACTAGGAAAGACCAGATTCAGAATAGAAACACTATTGTCTTAACTATCTGCCTCCTAAATAAAAGTTAAATCTGACAATACATTCACTTACCAATATTTTCAGTGGGCATTGAGACTCTGGTTGGTTCTAAGAGATTGTCAGCTAAGACAAAAGCTCCTTCTTCCAATGTATCCAGTAACATTGTTGCAGTGTGCGCTTGTTCAGAGGAATTCATATGTTTCCAAGAATCCAGAGCTTCTGGTCGCAGAAGATTGTCCACTGTGTCAACAATTGCCTGCATCCATTAGAAATCTATCATTAGTTCTGACTGCTCCTAAAACCAGTGCGGTTTTCAGTGGCTGACTAGTGACAAAGGTGATGTTTATTTGTCATGATGACTAGCTATTATATGGAATAATGCCCCAACATCTATCTGCTAAACTGGAAATAAACCATCTACATGAAAATATGACTAACCATTAATGGACTGCTATTTGATTAAAAAGGGTATATGTAGAAAGGCAGCTTGTTTTTGTTTATCTAATCATATTTCAATTGTTGAAGAAAAATGTGGTAGCTCTTAAACCTGAGACATGGCTCACATTACTGAAGTGGCCACAGTACTGAAGTGGCCCTGTTTATAATTTCAAGACTTAACTATTCTAAGTAAAAAAAACACTGATGTCTCTGATCCAGAATAATACTAATATTTAAAATTTCAGCAATAATGCTTTTCTGAACCTGATCTACAATAATTACTGCCTTATAGGCATTGACTACTTATTATCACATAAAAAATGATTTTAAAGTTTACAAACTATCTGCAAACATATTCACTCTTCCAAATCCCTACCCAGCTATTCAACAACAAAAACAAATAAGAAAAAACTCTAGCGAATATAACTTAATTCATAAAGAATGGTCTTAAATAAAGGAATCAAGATAGCAAGCAAATATGCAAAGGCTATTTATTCCATTAACTTAAGAAAAACAGAAAAGCATAAAGTGTTCATAAAATCCAAGTGGCAAATATTTATACATAAAGTTTATCACCACACAAAATAACATTTAGTAAAAATATATTCATCAGCTAATCAATTGCAGGCACACTCTTGTGCAGATATCACTATAGCTATGTCCTAAGTATCCCTTCAATAGTTGGAAATCTGACATCACTACATTTATTTACTATTCCATTTGCCTAGTTATACTGTGTCATTATGTCTATATACACATTGCTTTGATCTACTGGTAATCACCAAGGAAAACTAACATATATTATGTTAATAACAATGGAGATAGTATTTTTAGGTACTATATTAAAATGAGCAAGGGGAGAAGTTGTTTGAGGTTACTGTCAGTGTAAAATTAATTAGCTCAATCTATCTTAATATCCCCATTCTGTCTTCTTTATGAGTTACCACTACCTTCCTCCTGGCTGGTGGAAGATACTTCCAAGTGGTGTGAAAGGCTCTTTTTTCTGGTCATGGGAGATAGTAGAGTCAAAATGTTCACACTCATACTGTTACAGCCAATAGACAGAGTGGAACACAAATTGGTCTGCTGAGGCCAGATTCATTAGTCACCAAAAAATATAGACTACATCCTCTAATTTAAGTTATAAATGACTTCTAGCTAAAAATTCCCCATAGACTCCTTATAGAAACTCGCTACATTTACATAGTGTAAGTCAGCTTCTGATTGGTAATTTTGAGAGTTTGATTAGTCTTATCAGAATTGAGAAGCTTGTTTTAGATGTGTTGAAAACTGATACTGGTCAGAAATTCACACTGAAATTTATCAGGTATAGAAAAAAAATCCTCTCTGATGGCATGCTTTTTTATTGATTTAAACACTCCTGATTTATTACCATTTGTACTTTGCTAGTAGGATGAACATAATCATTATCCTAATCATAGTCCTGAAGTAGTATTTTCCTGCCAAGGGGGATAAAGGCCATTTTTCCCCCACACTGAAATATATGTTCTGGGCAGCATACCAATTATTACATTTTGTACATTAACTAATGTCTTTAAAGGTAACCTGAAGATTTGAGTTTGAAAATTTCTAGACTTCAGCAGTTACTTGTTTGCCCCATTAAACAGGCTCAAGAGGCGCTGTCAGAACATTATCACCTGGGAATATACTTTTCCCACTGCCTTTTCTTAAAAAATGTCCAAGTCCAACAATATGTTTTCCTAACTAGAGAAATACCACTCCACCTCCTAGATCTTGCCAACTAGAATAAGTGAAGATACAGATTTGAAAAAAAACCTCTATTACTTGAAACTATTAAAGTTCTTTAGTTTTGTCATCATAGTACATATGAATTTGCTTTGTAAGATCTGAATTACCTTGATAATGGCACTCAGAAGAGTTAAGGCTAGAAAATAACTATTTCCTACAAAGGAACTTCTAAACTTTAAACAGATCAAAACAAAACACAATAAGGTATTTGTATCCTAATCTATCACAGAGATTTAGTATGACATAACTGCACTAAGAGCGTTAGCACGTTTCTTATTACTCAGATATACAATAAAGAAAGAAATACCGCAGGAGTACAGAACCCTAAGCCAACCCATGGCTCTCTGCTCCTATGAGTATAATAAAACCAACAGGTACCATTTACTGATATCACTGTTTCATTATTTTTCTTTTATTTCTAGTAATCCAGACCCATATAACTCATTCTAGAAACAACTCCTAAGCTTTTCAAAACAAAGCCTATTTTATTTAAGAGTATATACCACAAAGAAAGCAGTGATTTTTTTCATGCACATACATTATGACCACACAGTCTTTGATATGATAAACTGCCAAGAATATATCATAGCTGTTTTATTTAAGTAGTTGTTTAATCCAGAGATGATAAAAGAAAACAAAGACAGTATATGATTACTTTCCAATTCAGAAGAAGATACTTCATTAAAATTTTTAGAGTTTGGATGAATGAAAAAAACAGCTGAAATTATTAAGATCAATGATTTGCTTATTCTGAAAGTAATATACCTGTGAAAAGCCAACATTTGTACAGCTGATATGGGGCACATTATATAATTATCAAAGACTGAAATACATTGGATCATGCAGCAAGATGATAAAGCGTGGCAGGTAGCTGAAGAAGGGAGAAAGCAGGGTGACAACACAGGAGAGATACCTTAAGGTAAGCCCTGCATGTCTTCTCTCGTTTTTGGAGCTTTTAAGTAAAAGAAAAGAAATCAGAGGTTAGATTTTATCTGTTGGAATGAGGAAAGAAGAATCCTCAAAAATTAAGCTGGTGTTTCAGAGTTCCAGAGTAGCTCTCTGGATGTCTGTGTGTCTATATTGACTACCAACACAGCTCGTCTTTTGCTGAATTTGATTAAGTATACTAACCCAAATCATGTTATCACAAATGAATGAATGAATGAATGCATGAATAAGTGAATAAAGAGAGAGACAAAAATAATACTGTGGGTTTTTAAAAAGTCCACATATGAGCCACAGATTTTAAATTCAAATGAACCTAATATAAAGAGTATGATGAAGTAATTATCATATTTTTGCCATTAGGTAAAATAATATCCTTTTCCTCAAAGTTGACATTGAAAGAAGTAGTTCAGTGATGATATTAGCTCCTAGACATATAACCATTTTGCTACTGTCATATTTGCTTCATGTATAAGAATATAAAGTTTATAAACTGCATGTCCAACAATATACATTGAAAGTGAGACTGATGGATAAATACGCTGCCAACTAAAATCTCCCCTGGGTAATCTCCTAGGTTATCTCACAGGTAATTAATACCATTTCTGGGGGTAGGTTGGGAGGCCATCATCAACTCCTTTCTCCATTTTAATTCCTTCTGGTAAATGAACCCAATTAGAAGGGTTGTTTCTATGTGTATGTCCAGGGGGTCAGGGGTGGCAGCTTGCTGCCACAGAGTGGAAAGCTGCCATAGAGAATGGCCAGTTTCAAAGAGCAGACAAGTTCTTCCTACCTTGTTATAACTCCGTCCAGCTGAATCCTTTTCACTAGGTTTCAGTTCCTGCAGCTGTGCATCCAGGATGTCCACCAACTGCTCCATCAGTCTCACTGAAGAACTCACATCCCCTGTAAACACGGACCCCTTGGTATGCTTAGCCAGTTCATTGGCTAGACTAGCAGCATTTTCTCCACTTCTGATCTGAAATGACAATTTGTTTATCTCAGTAAGGTTTGCTATTCTGTTTGTGGCTTTTACTTCTCTTTGAGTACCCTAGTGGGGGTGAAAAAAAATTGCAAATGTCAAAATCTGCAACTAATTGAGACCAATAACTTTCTCTTCATCTCAGAAGATTAAAGGCTTTTAGATCCTCAACACACAAAAGAAATTCTTAACCACACACTTAAAAAAAGAAAAGAAGAGGGGGAAAAAAAAACTCTTTTTTTCTGTCATGAGCACTCTCATTTAACCCCGCCCTTTTAAATGGTTATTTAAAAAATCCTATTTATTTCAATGACTCAATTATATGAAGGTAATTAATACAATACACAGTGTCGCTATCTAGTGTTTGTACCCTGAGAACAGTAAATGAATAGGAAGAAAAAAAAGAGGGCATTGCATTATTCTGAAATATTCAAGTTACCAATGCCCTTTAAAGTCATTTATAGTTATTGTATCATAATCGTGTGTCATATAAACATCTGTTTGCATTCTGTGGATTCAGTCACAAACCTAATGAAACTTGATTTATTAAACCAATGCACTATTTGTCTTGTGAACATCAAAAGAAGGAGAACAAACTAAATATGACTGAAATTAAACAAATATGTACTCATTAAAAAGCTTAACATAGAAAACACCATGCACTAAAACACCATGTCACTTTCAATAAATAATTTACAGACAAAACTATTTCTTTTTTTTACTTTTACACTGAACAAAGAACAACGAAGTTGGCTTTAACATAGAAAACTAAATTATTTACGTTGGAAGTTAAAAGTCCTAAATCACCAATGTGTAGCATATAAAAATGTTCCAACCTACCTTCTGAGCCAGTTGATTTACCCAGTGTGAGGTACAGTTGCTAAGATCGGGGCCCTTAGGGTTCCATGTTCCAGTAGAAACCATGCAGAGATACGAGGCTGTTCCTACAACAGATGTAGAAAACAACAGTGAAATTGAAACCATTTTTCTGCATGTACTGAGGAAATCAGCTACGATGATTCTAGTCTATGTGTTAAATTCCCAATAAATGCTAATACAGTAACTGACCAAAAATACAGAGTATAACGCAGATTATAAACAGTAAATATATAGTCAGCACAGAAATATCAGACATTTAGAGAAAACAAACAGAAAGCCCTTGATTTTCTTGAGGCTCATCCAAAGTGATAGTTTTAATGAGAAAGGCTGCTGTAGTGGAGCCTCACAAGTGTCCTTGAGGGGAAAAAAAAAATCACATTCTTGACCCAGGCCTTCAAGAAGAAGCAGTAATCCAACACCTGACCTTAAATGACTTACAGTTTAAAAACATTTAAGTTTTCTACAGATGCTGGATTATCAAAGAAACAAAAATAGTAAAAGTCTGCTATGAGTAAGTATCCTCTTCCTCAAATACAATCAGCTTCAGTGTAATTCAAAACTTACTAAATGTAAAAAAAATGTATGCATAGTATTTTACAGGAAATACCTCTTGTTCCCTTGGGACATGGTCGTTCAACCATCATTCCCCTTTGTGTCTGAGGCCATTTTATTCCCCTTGCTTCTAATGCTTCGCAGAATCTCTCTGGCAGGGGAAAAATATTTGTTACAGGAGGAATTTTGGTTGTAGAAACTGCTGGAGGTGGTTTTGTCCCTTTGCTTCCTTCCTGTGATCCAGCTACGGTTGTGCTCATGGGGCCTTTCTGTGAAGTAGTGCTTGTGGTTGATACTGTGGTTTTGAACAGCTCAGCTGAAGAAGTTATTGTCACAGCTGTGGTAGGCACTATGGAAAAAAGATGAGTGCATTAATCTCAAGCACACACCCACATACTCGTGTACACACATGAATGTATGCATGCATGTGCATGCACACACACACACACACACACACACAGACACACACCCCTCTTACCCTTCTGAATGCCCCACATCAACAAACAGCTACTCATACGTGAGTAGAATAAGTCTTTTCATCTAATAGAACTTAATGATAACACTGCCTAAAAGGTTATAGTTTTCACTGTAGTTTCTTCTTCTGTTGGGTTTCCTTTTCAATGAAATATTTGAGGGTGAAGTTTAAGTATTATTTCATTATAAACCATCTAACATGAAATAAAAGGTAGGCTAACAGTAAAATTCTAGTCTTTTATAAACTCATACTCCATCAACAATTCAAAATATCAATGGAAGTCTAACTATAAGAAGATTTAGTTGCCTATTCTACATTTTGCAGGAAAATAAATACTATTACATCTTTCCACTTAGCAGCCATTCTTGCTTGAGAGACTTTTAAACATGCCTGATTAGCTCCAAACAGAAGATATGACTGGCATGCTTGTGCTATTTTATATGTTTTGAAAGGTAGAAAAAGCAGCAGCTAGTTCTGGTAAAAAGTAGTAATACAATCTTTTACCAAGATAAAAGTGTTAGATCAAATACTGCCTAATTTAAAACCCATCTTCCATATCACACTGACCCTTAACTGAGAAAATAAAAGAAACTATGGTCAGTTATTTCAAAGCAGAGTACTTTTAAAGAAAATGTTATTTTTAATCTCCAACATTACTTTCAAACAATTAAGTAGGGTTAAAAAAATGAGACCCAATGTTTCCTCCATTACTTATTTAAGCAGCACCAAAAGTTGAGCAAAAAATTCATATGACCATTTAGAATGTTAGAATTTACACTAGTTTCTAACAGTAATGTAATTTAAAGTTTTATTCATATTTACCAATTTTATAAGATAATTGACCCTTAAAGTCTTATATATATTATGCATAAAATTTATATTAGAGACAGCCAACTGACATTTTTAAATCATTAAACTTCATATTTTAACTTAAGTTATAAAAGTCCATGTTATAATATGTCTAATATTTTAAATTTTGGCCTACAAATACTTGTTTTATACAATTCCTATACAATTGCAAAAAAATACAGGAAAAGGCAAGAACTGTCAATTTTCTTATTATCTATATAGACTCTATTCCTTTTTCTCTTCTATCACAGGAGAAACTCTATGCATATGTTTTATTTTCATGGCACCATTTATTGACAAGATGAGCAGTGCCTATGTATATCAAACATCATGCCTAGCAAGCTGCTGCAGACACCTATTTAAACCTGTCTATCCTTTTAGTAAAGCACTTGCCTGACATCTTGTTAAACCTCTGTAATTTTCTTTTGATTACAATGCAGCTAGGCTTTCAGTGCTTTCTCAATTAACATTTGTCAAAAGCATCACAATCTTGTACAGAAGTGTCAAATGACTGCCACTGAATAGAGCCTTAACGGGGAGTTAGTAAAGGGCAGTGTGGAATGGTTCAGTATTATCACACCTTACTCACACTGTACTAATTAATACATAATTAATCACGGAAATATGTACACTACAATTAGTGATTGGTTTCTAGGCACTGGTAAAGATTTGTAATAACCGAGACAAAGTAGAAAAAACACCTCCAAAAAGTAAAGTATTTTGCAGCCTAGATCCCATGGATTTGGGCGAGAGTGCTGTATTTTCATACCTTTGCACCTTTTGATTGTCAAAAGAAGTCTGAAGAGAATTGATACATGACCACTGGGATTTTCATCAAAGTAAAATTTTATGTTATTACACTAAATCCTATAGGGGAACAATCTGAATTTCTGAGATTTAGCAATAGTTCAAGAAAAGCAATCATTTGTAAATGCTGAAGCTGAAAGTATACAGATATTTCCAAATCTTATGCTTCTTCCCTCAGGTGGAGACAAATACCAATGGACCATCTGGTACTGATAAAGGCTTATACTTATTCAACATTTATGTGCCAGATGCTATGCCAATCACCATTCATGGATCAACAGATCATATTATTTCTGGATTTTAAACTCAGGGCATTACTTAAACAGGCCAGGCAGGAGCTCTACCACTTCATCCACTCCCCTAGCATATTTTTTTTTTAATTTTTGAATAGGAAAGTTACTTTTTTGCCTAGACTATCCTAGATGGCAAATCCTTGCCTGGGTTGGCAAGGATTATTGGCATGGATCACTCCACTGGGTTGAACACACCTTTCTAAGTAAAAGATATGCACAAACCTTGAAAACGTAGAGCATCCTATGCAGCAACTTACCTTTACTTTTTAAAATATTAGAACATAAGATTAAAGCAAAACTTTCATAATGAAATGTACATGACAAAAGGTTCAAAAAGCAAAATTTTCATAATGAAATGTACATGACAGAAGATTCAAAAGTTGACACATACCTGGCAAATAGTAGTACAAGCCATAGGAACTCTCCTGATAGAACGAGAACTCAGAGCTGAACCTTTATTGTATAGCTCTGTTCTTCAGGAAATATCATGCATCCAAATGTACTGACTTAGCAGTCTGTCTACCAATTACCATCCAAGTATAAACACTCAAAAGTAGTGCAACTAAACACATTTAATGGGTAACCATGAAGATTTGAACAAATATCTAGAACTGTCCTGTTTTCCATTGGAGTATAAATTTAAAACTTTATTATTGAGTTCCTTTCTTCAAACAGATTTGGGACAATACACATTAGTACTAAGGATAATAATCCTCTCATTGAGGTCCAAAAGATCACGCAATTTTGACTGAATTCGGAACTACAGCTAAAGCAAATGTGTGAAAATGAGGATTAAATTTATGAGTATCCAATGTCTAGAATTACTGAATATGTTTTAAAGAACATCCTGGGAGAGGAGTAGGGACTTGAACTCAGGGCTTGGGCACAGTCACTGAGCTTTTTTTTTCCCTCAAAGCTAGTGTTCTACCATCTGAGTCACCGCTCTACTTCTGGCCTTTTAGTAGTTAATTGGAGATTAAGGGTCTCACAGGCATTCCTGCTGACTTTGAACTGAGACTTGAGTAGTTAAGATTACAGCATGAGCCATCCAGCTAAAAACATTCCCTCATATTATTGGAATATCTATCTTTAGAATTGAACTTAAGACATATTCAGGAACTGCCAAAATTCAATACTCTATATTTCACATTTTGGATGTAAGATCTGTCAGCAGATTAAGAAATTATAAAGCAGCACAAATAGAAAAACCAATAGTTAAAACAGTACTCTCATGTACTCAACAGTACTCAGTCCACTGTAGGAATGAGAAACTGAAAAAGGAATATCAATCTTAGTTTAGGGTAATGCAGCATAAACAACATGCAAGAATAAGAAAAGGCTAAAAATCATGCCTTAGGTTGTTAGAGAAGAGAAGGAATAGGCCATTTTACCTCACATGTTACATCTTGACACAAACATTGTTATTGTTTGAGACAAGGTTTTGCTAGTTAGTTCAAGCTCTTCTTCAGCTCACCATCTTTTTGCTCTATTGTCCAAGCATTCAGTCCTTACTAAGGTTTTAAGTATGGATTTTAAGCTAATAACTGCTTTATGAAAGTTTAAGACCTAATTTCTCTGGTTGTTCTGTCCTATAAGTTTTTTGAACCTTGTTCTAAGAAAGCTGACCGTGGCTTGTTGGTTTGACCTAAACATTTGGACCAGAATAGTTCTGCAAGGTCTCACATACTGGTATATAGATAGCATACTTCAAAGGGACATGAGTCTCCAAAAGCACATGAAGGAAAATTATAAGAAGAAAGAATAAGAATATGGGTCATATGCAGCAAAAGAAATTTAGGTCAGATAATTGTTCTGATTACTTAGGGCTTAATACAGGGTCAATATGAATTTCTGTGTTGTGGGAATACTTAAGATTGAAGTTGTCATGTCCAAAACGAGCTTTACAACGTCGGTTCCGGGGGGGGGGGAGGGGGGGGAAGGTTTTGGGATTGGGGGGGAGGGGGGAGGCTGGGAAGGGATGTAAAGGGTAAACAAAGGAGGAGGCTGCAATGCTTGGTAAGAAATGTACACATTATCCCGCCCATGTAATTGTAACTCCTCTGTACAGCATGTTCACAAATAAAATAAAATTAAAAAAAAAAAAGATTGACTTTTTAGAACTATAAAACAATGTCTAAGGTATATGTTTAAGTTTCTCATTTTCAAAAATGGCAATTGGTCTTCAGAAAAAAATCTAATTTATCAAAGCCTTTTGATTAGAAATACATTAAAGTATTTACTAGTGTATATACCGTATGTAGGGAATGATACTGCTACTTGTTTCTGTTCATTTAAGAATTCTGTGACAAGTATATAATGACCTTTTATTGAATTGAATCTCTATTCTTTATTCATAATTCTTCAGCTGCAGCTTGATTATGAATTTTCAGGTTTTAAAGCATTTTCTTTTTTCTTTCTAATGAAAAGATTTACTGCCACCTAAGAGAAGTATAACATTTGTCAGGGTAATGTGGGTTACACAAAGGTTAACACAAGGGTCCATACAATTTTAGCCAGTGTTTGAAATCTATCAATGCCTGAAGCTTGCCTTTTGAGAAGAATGAGGGATAAAGAAGCATGTGGTAGTCCCTGAAAAACAGATACACAAAATACCCCCAATTGCTGGCTTCAAAGTTAGCAGAAAAGTAAAAGGTTCAGTTGTTAAAATTTTAATGATCATATTATTAGGACACAAAAGATCCCCAGTATTGATTCAGAGAGAAAAATACCTTACACTAAGTCCCAAAGTCACTGCTATTCTTATTTTATGAACAGAACTCATATATTTTCATTTTCTAGATTTATATTAGAAATGCAACTACAAAAGACTGTGATTTGTACTGAGGTTCTGAACATATGACAATATTTAGAACTTATCAACTGTACTTAAAATGTGTAGTTATGTTTATAAATGTGTATATGATTATTGCTTTAATAGGCTAAGAATAATGCAAGTTCCACCTTGCTAAAAAGATTGATTTAATCACTTCAAAACTTTCCAGTTCTTAAAATTTTAAAGTAATTTCATAATTTGAAAGTTCCAATTAACACAGAAAATATTCATAACTGAAATCCATAAACATCACTGTTCAAATAGAAAAACTAGCAATTGGTGCAAGTTCTATAATACATTAGAAAGTTATGCTATTGTTGTGAGGGTAATCTTGTTTTAATAAATTATTCATTTACTTCACAAATTACTTCTCGTATACAAAGATTCTTTAATAGGCATAAATGTTTCAGAATATCTAGCATCATTTTCTAATTAATGCTCCTCCATAAAAATATCTAAATTGAACAAACAAAAAAGTACCAGTGGATTTGTCATCATAAATCATATGTTGAAATCATTTAATGGTGAGTCTGAACATGACAGTTACAGACAGAGAAATATTGAATATGACATTTTGAGTCACCAAACTATTGACTTAAACTGTCACTAATTTATCAGGAAACAAAAATCTGTAATTTTATGTAATGAACTAGACAGATGTTTGGAAACTCTCCCTTCCAGAGAATAGACACCAAAAGTCCAGAACAGTTATAACTGGCATTGTACATCAATCCTAGCCAGGTCTCTTGAGAATTCCTAATACACATTTCCTTTAACCACAGGGCCAAGAAGTTAAAAGGTCTGCACATAGATTATAATCAATTCAGAAGTCAGGTAAAGAAGAAGAAAAAAAAAAACGTTACAGGTTTGTACCTAGTATTATATTTTTTGCAATGAAAAACTAAACTGCCTCGTGTTGCCACCATTTCTTGAAGCCACCATTTAAATGAATTTCACAAAAGAAAATTGAACAAAATGGGCTAAAATAGAGAGCATTATCTTTTGTGCTTTAACTATGAGAAGGGAAGAAAATAGGTGGGAAATTATACATCTTTTAAAAGTAAACAGTTCACAAATGACATAAATACTAACAAACTTTCTTACCTTGGGCAGGATCAGGTGGACCAAACTCCAGAGAATATCGCAAAATAAAGTTATTGTTCCACACGTAGAGTTGGTTATCTCTTGGATTGTAATCCACTGCAGCAATATACTGGTACTGGTTGGGAAAGGGAATGTCTACATATTCTCCCCGGTTTAATCGGGTATTGTAAATGTAATCTATTGCATTCTTGCCTGTTTCACTTTCATTGTCTTGATACACTGACCTGACCACATAGAGGACTCCACATATCATGAAAGCATTTGATGCAGCACGCTTGTCATATATTGTCTCCCACGTTGCTTCAAATCGGAGAGTGTATGGATTCAGTTGACTAATAACTATCATTCCGTTGTTCTGTTCGGTGGCATAAATGACCCATAAGCCATTTTCATCAACTGCTAGGTCGATATCAGTCTTTCCTCCCCACCTATATGGTGAGGTATCGTGGTAGTTGGCATAGTTAATTATGGCCTCACCACTCTTAATTCTAGTCCTCAAGTCAAATTTCACAATGTTTCTTGTTCTTTCTTTGTTAAAAAAGACAGCACCATCATATACCACAAATCCAGTACCATCTACTCGATTTGGAAGTTTATATGTTGTTGTTTGGCGACTATTTTGGAAGTCTTCTATAGAAGCATATTCTATTAAAGTATCGGTGCGGTAAGGAGTCCAGGGCATGAAATAAATTTTATCTGCAGCTTGAAGAGGGTCTTTGCACCAAGCACCTGCCTTTTGTTCAGCTTCATATATACACGGTGCATCCACAATTGCTTTCAAAGTCCCAGGGCACACAAAAACTAACAGTCACAGAGAAAAAACAAGAAAGGAAGCCAAGTTAAAAAAAAAAAAAACTATACAAGCAAAAGTTTTATTGATTACAAATTTAACCCAAAAAAGAAGATAGAAGATATATTTTATTAGCATTTAATTTTTCAAAAATTTACACTTAATGCAAGGAGTACTAGCATAACAAAGTGGCTGGGATTGATTTCTACAAATCCAAACACCCATGTTTCCGCTCATTCAGAATTTAAATTTTAAAGTGTGCTTTTAATCTTATAATTTGTAATATATGTCTTCAAACTTTGAGCTTGTGCATAATAGTGTGTATTTTGTCGTAGTCGAAACCCTCCAGTCCCTAGGCCCACATCTAAGATCCCCAAAAGCAAAACCATAAAATAAGGCAAATAAGACTGAAAAGCCAATGTGAACACTTAATTAGAACTTTTACGGTAGTTAAAAGTGTTTCAATTCAAAGAATATAAATATTTGAAAAATGTAATTAGGAACAGAGAGAAGTAAATACAAGGAAAACAGTAATGGAAGGACCAGAAGGACCCCATATAACCATGGCATGCTATGGAGAGGGTTCTGGAAGCCAGGCAAGATGACACTTTAATAATAAGAAAATGTCCAAGGGCATCAGAAAAAAGAGATAAAGGGTAAAAAAAAGAAACAGGAAAGGGCAGCTCCCCCTTGCAGACTTCAGAATTTTTACCCATCACCAGATTTAGCGCCCATATAATCTCATTGTCAACAGTCGACTTCTTTATGAGGTGCATTTATGAGATCCTGCTGATTATTTTAACATAGGAGTGTTGTGGGGAGAGGGGAGGGAGGAGGTTAACATCCATAAGGCACATAACAGGGAGCTGGGGTTCAGGCTGAATACGTTATTTACCTTTTTGCTCCACTTCTATTTTAAGCATCGGAAGAAAAATAAAAAAAGGTGCAAGGAAAAAAGAAAAAAGATTAAAATAAATTGACTATTAGTCTAAGATTGAATTCGTAACAGATGCTAAATATAGGAAGAACAAGTAGCTGTACTACTTTGGATAAAGAGAAACACACAGGAAAACCTAGCAGGAGAAAGATTCTAAAGTTACATAAAAGAACATGGATCAATCATTTTAGTAGATTAAGGAGGCAATGCAAATAAGTTGGCATGTTGCTTCACTTAGTGTACCTGAATAAATAATGAAACTCTCCACTAATGTATGCTATACATACTCATGCCTTTTCAAAGTCACTCAGAATTCTTATCAAGTTTTCCTTTATATATGTATGCTATCAACATAAATGCATGCACAGGTGTATCAAGCCCATTTATCTAGTGTGAGCTCAACTGTTAAATTGATTAATTCCATAAGAATAACAAGAAATTAATAAAAATGACAATTGAATTTTGGAGTTTGGGACAAATTTAGTAACTATTGATATGGTTATATTTGTTTCCAAAAATAATTTTCACAATACAGTTCTTACAATTATGTTGTTCATGTTCATTGTTTTTCTATTATATCTGACATCTAGAAAAGTCCATCATAGCAATTTTAAAATGCCTCCTTTTCAGGAATACATAAATCTCCCCTTGAGCTCAATAGGTATATTGAAGGGTAAGACCAAGTAATGTCTTTCTTGCTCGATAAAATAAATAAATTTACTTATTTAAGTTTACATTCACATTCTATTTAATTTTAACTTTCCGTATCATATATCAAACTTGTAATAATATAAGACTATTAAAAAAAGTAAGCAAAATACATACAAGGGAAAAGCAAGCACAGTAGGCAAGGAGAAAAAGGAAGAAAGAATTATGGTTAGCTTATTATGACATTTTCTATCATCATTAATTTACACAGAAAGCAAGCGAGCATGCAACAGCAATCATACTGAGCATTCACAGCAAATACCTTGACTCCACAGACCCCATAAAAGGTATATGCTTTCTTAAAACAAACCTTATTAATAGAGTTATAGGAGTTAAGAAAAAACTGAAGCCCTATAAATTTAAAAATATGGCTTATGCACTTACAAAGGGTGCAAATAAGATCCTTGTTGGCAAATAGCATTCTGATAATTAGAAACGATAATCTATTTTAGATTCTATTTGGGCTTTGAAGTATGTTGCCTGAATTTCATAAAATGACTCCATTGATGTTTGTGTTTCTCCCTCTTGCCTTATTAAAATGCATTAGAATGTGATAATACTACATCTCCAAACTGATTACTTAAAGAAAGCATTGCATGTTGCAGTAGGATTTTTAGCTTGATTCACTTTTTAGAATTAAAATTATTCATCAAATTAAATATTGACCTTGTGAAATGCTTTGGGGAGAAACATTTTTGAAAATACAAATAGCATATAACCTCCTGCATTCATCCATAACCTCCTTTAAACCAACTTGGATCATTTAGCCACTTTCAGGAAACATACTTGCTCTATAATGTGTAATTCTGACTACATCTCACACATAGGAGACATTCAGTGTCGCTGTATTAGGAATATTTTTTTATTAATTAGTTGTCCTAACATTGCTCCTCAGTGAAGAGCATTATTATACCTGCTTAGAAACAATAACGGAAGGGCGTGGTGGGAAAATGAGGATAAAAGAAATCATTAGTGCTGTGATTGCTCAAACTATTATTTAAATATAGTTGTTTGTCTTCCCTACGGAAAGGATGACTTTACTAAAAATAAACCAATCAAATGTAATGTACAGGACTAATACACTTAAAACAGAACATTAAAAAACAAGCTCAGTAAAGAAAGCCAAGGTATATTGTTTTTAATTCATTCAAAACAACTGGGTTTTATTTATTGGATGCACAAAGATGACCGTGCAGTTACTGAGCAAAATGGGAAATAGGAAGTTTTCCTTGACTTGTGACTAACTAGTAACTTCTGTATCAAGGGAACAGTAAATGGGTATAAATTTTATTATAATTTATAATGCTGATGAAAATTATCCAAATATAAGTTGTTTTAGTAAATAAAACCTTTGAGGATTGAAGAATGGCTCTTTAAATGTCTATATAATGATTTTTATGAAAACCCAAAGGACAGATTATCTGTAAGTTCAGCCAAAATTTATCAACCAGAAGAATAAAAAAATGCAAAAAAATTAACAAAATCAGCATTCTTTGTCACATGCCAAATATAGGAGTTTTCCTCAAGAGACTGTGTGACTTTAATCATAACAATACATTTACTTTTCTATAGAGCAAACATACAAGTGCATGACCCACCACCAACATCAGCGAAGACTACATGAATATGCAAGACAAAAAATTGTGACCAAACTACTTATAGCCTACATACTCAGTATCTGAAGTGACACACTATTTCATATTGAATAATCTCATGTTTCATCATTACTAGGGACTTAATCAATAATAAGTTTCTATTCTCATCAAATAAAACTTGTAGCAAACATTCTCATGTATCATAAGAATGTGAAATAAATGAGAACAAAATGAAAATAAAAATTCAGTCTGTTACATGCAAAATTCTAGTATAATTACTTTCCTTTATCCTCCAAGATCCTGACTTAAAATATATACATGCATGTTATTCCCAGTATTCTGTCAACAATTAAGAACTCTACATTCATTTATTTTTGACACAAATATTACACAGGCAACTACAAAAGCCACAAAATAAGGTATTTCCCTGCTAATAAACATTATTATAATAAACCAAGAACATTATTTTTGATGTCCTCTTTTAGCATATTTATTATAAAATTTTCAGAAGCCATGGAAATTTTCTATTACTGTTTTAGAACAGGAGGAAACAATTTGAGATATACAAGCTCTTGGAGGATTTGCTGTTAATAGAAACTGGCATTAAGCCAGGTGGTTGTGGAATATATAATAAATCTTATCTGATGGTGACAATTTTTATCAAATAAGTAATATGTGAAAAGGTTATAAAATACTATGAAGTACAAACACCATTAAAACAATGGAAGAGTGAAATGTAGAAGTACAAAATAAAAGCAAGTATAAGAAACACTTATAAAAGACAGCAGAAAACAAAAGCAGAGAAAACAAGGAAGAAATAAGAAAACACACACCACTATGTAAATTAGTAGGAATAACAGGAAAAGACAATTTTCATTAAAATTTTATATTGATTGAAATCTTATAATTTATAGTGTGTCACTACTGTACGGTATATAGGAATTATAATTACTTCTATAGCGCAGTGATTTATAAAGAAAAAAAGCCATAGACTTATTTCTACCTCGTGCAAATATCTAGAAAGGTAACGGCAAATTAATTACTGGTTGATTTTTTTATTATTTCAAAGGATAAAAACTTGAAAGAGTAAATACTTCTCTGAGTATAGCTATTTGCAAGTTTAGTACACAATGTACAATACTTCTGGAGAACTGAAAAAGTAAAATTTTCAAAGTTAGATGTTCCAGAAGACATCCACATTTTCCTTTCTTAATCAGCGCAAGAAATTACTTATGAGTCTGAAAATAACATGTGCTTAACACTGTCTTGGTCTAAAGACTAGGTTACAGGAACTGGCTCCAGAAAGAATTCTTGGCAGCTCTGACTGATTCCACTGTTTGGGAATGGATGCTGTATTCCTTCTCTAATTTGAGGACAGAAATCAGGCTGAATTCAAGTGAGAGGGACTTTACGGAACAAAATTTTGGTTAGCTCAAAAGAATACAATGTTCGTCTAGTGGCACAGAAGGAGAATGATTATGTAAAGCCACCAACACTACACACAGGAGAGATGGAATAAAGATCAGTGCACTCAGTAGGCTTCCAATCCTACAAATGTTACAGAAAATACTGAAAACATAAAAAGCATCCATTTCACAGTAACACAGGAACACAGAGTAGGGATGAAAAGAAAAGATCATCTGTGTTTGGCCTTTAACTGATACCACAAAAAGGCAATTATCAATTTGTGGCAGAAGAAGACAGAGAGGGTGTCTTCACCATATGTGTAAGAATATGTTACTACCATATTGGAGATAGCACTTGTATCAGAATGTGACCCTTTTGTTTTTGTTGTTTTGAAATAGGCTCTTGCTACCCAGAACCAAGGCTAGTCTCAAACTCTGGGGCTTAAGTAATCTTCCTGCCCCAATCTTCCAAGTAGCTGAGATTACAGGGAAAAAGTATAGCTGTCTCAAATCAGTAAAAGTACTAACCTAACACTTTACTTCTAATGTCTATGCACAAACCTTACATGATTATTTTTCTTTTTTATTTAAAAGAACAACACTGTCAAATTAGTTTGTAAAAATTAGGTAATATATTCAAGCTTTTAAGTTGTTTGAAATGGTAAAATTTTCATTGAACTTGAAGAATATAATGTAGAAGCATGAATCTGAGCTTAGAAAGAAAACTACATAGCATTAGAGTATTGGCTGTAGCATATCTATAAAAATTTCTATTGAATTTCAAATAACTCCTTGCAGGATCTTAAAAATGTGTTACCCAGATATATTTAGGATTTTGTCAACTTTTTGTTGTAAAAAAGCATTAAAATTTCATCATTGGATCTGGGGAAAAATTGCTCCCCTCAAGCACACGGAACAGAAGGGGCAACACTTGCCTTGGACCCTGCAGTAGTAGCATTTACCAGGCACTAAAGTTACCACGACAGCAGGTAGCCATTCAAGTAGCTCATGATTAAAACTGAAGTCAATTCCTCCTTTAGAAAACTGGGAGCCAAACCAATTTGTCAGCAACTGGTATTGGGCAAAAGTACAGATTTCTATCTGCCCTATTGAATAGCTAATTCAAGTTTGTTTTCTGGAAAAACACTAGCCTTAAAAGCCAAACACTTAAGAACACAGACAGACACTTGGCCAGCACCACACTATGGCTTCCTTCCACACTTCATGAAGCTAATTGGAGTCCCGAGTCTGTTAGTGCTCTGCATGCATAATGGTTTTGTGGGCCATAAACATATGCTTCTTTCACATGTGTAGTCTTTCAGCATTAACCAGGAATGCTGGAGGAAGTGAAGAATATAAACTTCATACTTACTGTAAGGAACACATTCATATTGGACTTCAAGATACTTGTATGTTCCAGGACATGGATCAGGAAACACATCTGACCCAGTAACTACTATACACTGTGTTCGATTGTTGCACCTGCAAAACAAAGTGAATCAAATTTGTGTAATTTAACTTGTTTGTATTAAGAAATACAATTTGAAACTGACTCATATTTTCTTTAAGCAACTAGAAGTATAAAACATATAATCCAACTGATATTATTTTACATTATCAAATAGCTATAAAAGTGTTATACTAGACATTTTTATTTGAATTTTTATGTATTCAATATGTAGTGAAAAGGGGGGACTTATCAGCATATTTGATTAATTAAAATTACAAGCAAAGCAAAAATACTGAGTGAATGGCAATATGGCTCAACTGAATAGCTGAGCAGGAAGTTTATGTATTAAAATACAGATTTTAAAGTTCATTCTCTAGCATCCAAATTTGTGTTATGTTTTCTATTACTGGCACTGCATTCATTCTTGAATACCAAATACCAAGCCAGTAGATACCTTGTTTCTCTTCTTGTCCCTTTCCCCATTCCTGGTACTGAAATTGAACCCATGGTTTATTATCATACATATAATGACTGGCATTAATGACTGACTATATTTAAAGAGTTTGAAACACACATACTATTGTTACCTTTCACAGATCAATGTGCTCATGCTATGAGTAATTACTGTGTACTATTGGTTCTTCTAAATCAACTTAACATAAAAAAATACCACTAACATTATTCCTAAAATGCCCCATACATTAGCCTAAAAAAGTATTTTCTTTTTTGTTGTTGCTGCCATTAAGTTATCAGAATTAAAATTAAGTGAGAACTCTAGAAAGATATTTAAGTACTATAAATTGGCCCAGATGTTCTTTTTACAAGCCTTGCAAAGGCAAGAATTATTTCTTTTATAATTTGATTTGATTACAATCCAATGGAATGAAAATACTTGCAGGAGTTTTATGTTTTCTGACAGTATATACATTAAGAAGGCAAAGCAAGCAGAACAAAGGCATTATAACAAATTTTATCTAACAACTTGAATACTAAGTATTTTATAGTACATAAAATAGCTAAACTGCAATAACACTCTAACAAACTGTGAATAAGTAACTCAGTAGGAAGATATCTAAGTACAAAGGGCACTGGAAGCAAAATAATGGAAGCAAGATATAAAAAACAATGTACTTTGGAGATATTTCACATTAAAACTAACATGATCATGCTTTGAAGGGAAGCAAAGTGTAAAAGCTTTACAGGCTTAAATAGCTACATTTTATAATTCAAAATACACTACAGTAAATTTCAAATGTCTTATATAGTTAAGAAATTATAATATTTGCTTTACAAATATTAATGTAATCAACTTCTATCGTGATTAATCTATTATATAGTGTGATATTTAAAATATATACTATATATTATCATTTCAAGAATATAGATAATGTAAACTGGGGAGTGTTCACAACATTCTAGTATTTTTTCCTGCTATTCTTAGTTCCTTTGAAGAAATATTCCAGTGGTTTATTGCCATTTGGCATAAATTAATGATTTTAATATAAGTCACAGAATATTGTATTCTACAGCTTAAAATTATAGGCAGAGGGATGAGATATAGCTCAGTGGTGAAGCACTCGGCTAGCAAGTGTCAACATCCTGAATTCCATCCCCAGTACCAAAAAAGAAAAGACCAAACAAAAACAAAACAAAAAAATCAGAGCTGAGAAGGTAGTTCAGTGGTAGAGTGCTTGCCTTGCATGCATGAGGGCCCTGGGTTCAATTCCTCAGTACCACATAAGCAGAAAAAGCCTGAAGTGGCACAGAGCTAGCTTTGAGCTGAAGAACTGAGGGACAGTGCTCAGGCCCAGAGTTCAAGCCCCATATAGGCAGATTTTAAGATTTTTTCAATAGGTCACATATAATTTTTCAACCAATGTAGAAATATAGTTCAGATGCATCATTTTTCTTCTGTCTTAAATTCTGCAAGCTATAAGAGTTGCTTCATCTTTCAGGAATCCTCAACACTAACCGGGTCCACAAAAAAAGACAGTCCTTTCATTTCCTTTCTTGTACGTATTCATACCTACAGGAATCTTCATTGTATCTTAGCTTCACAGCTCTTAGATACCAAGAAATGTAAACTCCTATATGTTTAATATTATTATTATATTAATATTATAACTACTCAACCAGATTGTACTTTCCCAATAGTTATGAAACACTCTCATTGTAAAAATCCTATTAAAACCAAATTCCATTGGAAAATAAACAGTTTCATATACCACATTACCTCCCCTTCTCAAGTGAATGTTCCTCTTACATCACCAAACTAGGGACAGGTTATAGAAGAGAAAATGGCTTCTACTGAGGTTGAAATGAACCAGGAACATAAGGACTTTGGACAATGGTAAAAAGGTGGCTCACAGAAGATAGAGCATAGGACATTTTTTTGAGGATTTATCTCATTTTTCCAAAAATAAAGACTATATTGAAGATTACCCAGTGTTTCCCCACCAGAAGTAACTGGATGAATAAAATGACTAACATAGGATTAGAAATCTTCCGTATTTCTCAATGTGACAGTATGTTTTATAAGAAGTCAAAGGGAAGCACACCGTGAACATTCTATGTTTTATTTGAAAGTATACCAATATGATCAAAAGAAAAAACATCTGCCTATATTTAATTTTTAAAACTCTGATTAGTTATCTGACTACCATTATGAGTTCAAATGAATGTCATAATTAATTCGGTGGTTTGTACTAACCACATAAATATCCTTAAAGAATCACATATAAAGCACTCGTGGTAAGACAGTAAAAAGTATGAATTCTACAGCTATTATCTTAAGTAAAATCTTAAGTAAGGAGACAATAAATTTCACACAAAAATCACACACATTTCTAGAGTTCATCCATTTCTTTTTTTTGGGGGGGAGGGGGTCCGGTCGTGGGGCCTGAACTCTGGGCCTGGGCACTGTCCCTCAGCTCTTTAGCTCAAAGCTAGCACTCTACCACTTGAGCCACAGCGCCACTTCTGGCTTTTTTCTTTTTGCTTATGTGGTGCTGAGAAATCGAACCCAGGGCCTCAGGCATGCAAGGCAAGCGCTCTACCACTGAGCCACCTTCCCAGCCCCAAGTTCATCCATTTCTAAAACATTCATTCTACATTTGAAAATATTGTATATACTTACATATATAAATATATATATGTACATATGAAGCATGTATATATCTATATATTATTTTCTTATACTCCATACACATGTATATATATATATATATATTAAGAATGTTGAAAAAATCAGAAATTTTGAATTAACCAAGCGTAAAGATTCAACATGAGAATGTCAATTGTACATGGAAAAAAATATATCATGGCTATGCACACCAGTATCTATTCATGCAAAATGAATCAGAACTTTTAGAGAACTACATACAGAAATGAAAATATGGACTGTGAATATCCTTTATCAATTGAAAGAGTAGCTATAAGTTTCCAAGTAATGTGTAGAAATGAATGGGGAACTATCCAATATGAGCTATAAACCTTTAAAATTAAAAATGCTTTAACCCATATGGTTAAGATTGTAAAACTGTTAATTGGTGTGTTTTAAAAAGACAAGTAAGAAAACAATTACTTAGCCAAAAAAAGCATAGTAAATTCCTACAAATGGCTCAGCTTCAAAGACAACCAAAGCCAAAATAGAAAAGGTGATCAGGAGTTATTTTCTAAGACAGAGGAATGGATGCTGGCATGACTTTCTCCCCTCTTCCTCTCCATAAAAAGATAATGATATTTCCTATCAGCTACAGTTGTTCACAATAGTAACTAGAATATCAATATTTTTATAATACTGTGAGAATTCAGTGTACTAATCTAAACTTTTCTTAAATGGTAAATTTAGTGTAAATGAGAACAAGATAGAAGAGAAAATAAAGGGTTTTAAAAATGGGCCCCAGGCTGGGAAGGTGGTGCAGTGGTAGAGTGCTTGCCCTGCATGCATGAGACCCTGGGTTTGATTCCTCAGCACATTAGCAGAAAAAGCCAGAAGTGGCGGTGTAGCTCAAGTGGGAGAGCGTTAGACTTGAGCTGAAGGGCTGAGGAACAGCGCCCAGGCCCAGAGTTCAGGCCCCACTTCCACAAAAAAAGGGCCTTTGATTCAAATTTTAAGGAAGTATGATCATTTCTTTTTAAAAAATGAACTAAATGCTTCAACTTGCAAATAATGGGTCTTAAAGCTGCTTTGTATTTATAAACAAGCACTGTCGAGTTACAATAGCTAAAGTAGTAATTCCAAAATGTGATCAGATAGCTCAACTAAGAAAAGCAAATTATTAGGCTTCATAAGAACAGATTCAGAAAATCTAAGGATAAACACCGGTCCTGGGCATTTTAACTACTACTGAAAATGATTCCTAATCAGTTGCTAGAGATACACTAGGCATAGATAATAACATTAAGTATTTTGTGTAAAACTTCATATGTGATCAGATTTATGATAAAGATATTTTCCTTCCCAACTTTAGGTATAGGAATCAAGGGTTCCTGTTTGCTCTTATTTTGATCAATATATCTAATTATTTATCAATAACTGACATGATAAGTCAAATGCTGTATTGTAGTAAAATCAGGTAACTTAACAGGATAGAGGAGATGGGAAGAAATAGAGAAGAGTGACAAAGAAGTGACATTGTCTAAGAAGATGCATTGTACTCACAAACTGAGATAGTGAATCACATCTTAGTACATGTACATATTACGTATAAACTGGCTTTTAATAGAAAATACAGAAAATGATCTTTTCCTAAATTTGTACCACTGAACAAACCTGAAATATAATTTCTGACAGTCTGTAAAAATACACTCTGCTTCATTGTATACTATGAATGTCATTAAAAGTATTCAAAAATATAATCAACAGCAATCATTATTGACTTTCCTATATTAAAACTTTGACTTAATTGATATTTAATTATTTAATACTTCCTAAAAGAATAAAGGTAATTTTTTTTATTTTTTATTGTGAACATACTGTACAGAGGGGTTACAATTACATGGGCAAGATAATGAGTACATTTCTTATCAA